CGCTGAGACTGCCGCTGGCGGTCCTGCTGGAGGTGCTCCTGGTGCTGCTGGAGGTTCTGGAGCTGCTGGAGGTGCTGCTGGAGCGGGTGCTCCTACTGAGGGTACTGGTGCTGTCCCTGCTGCTTCTGGCGTCGCCACGCGGCCTCGACCGTACTTCATTCCACTACTACAGCAGGTTCTTGGTCTTCCACCTTCTACTGGTCCTCCTCCTTCCTTAGAGTGTCCGCAACCTGTCCAGCCACAGTTACAGCTGCAGCCTACCTCCCTTTGCCTGCTCCTTCTCCCTACACTGGTCCTACTGGAGGTCTTGCTGAGCGTCGTGAGCCTGCGTCTCGCCCTACGTCGCCTGTCCGTCTTGCTCACGCTAGTGGTCGTAGTTCGCGTGAGCGTCCTCCTCCTGTCCCTGGCACGCACCGGATGTCTCTGCGTCCGTCCACTGCTCCTCTGCGTGCCCCTTTGCCTTCTCCTCCTGAGTCCTCTCTTCCTGCTCTTCCCGACCCGGAGTCGGACTCTCTTCGAGCTGCCAGTCCTACTGTCACGCGTCTCCTTGCTACTCTCGTCACTGACCCTTCTTTTGAGTCTACTGCTGCGTCTGCTCTAGTTGCTGAGCTCGTCGACTTTGCTGCTCGCTGTCGCTTAGACTACGCTGCGAGTCTTGTCGCTGAGTCTGAGTCTGTCTGTCCTCCGTCCGTCGGGGGTGAGTGTGCCCTTGGCACGGACGTCCTTGAGGACAGGCAGGAGGAGTTCCAGTGTCTGGCAGCTGCTTCACCTTATCTCGTGTCCGTACTGCTTACCCCTGAGGGAGACCCGGATGCACTTGACATCCCGACTCCGCGCTCTTACGCGGAGGCGATAGAGGGTCCCTACTCCTCTCAGTGGCAGGCAGCTATGGATGCAGGGATGGCTTCCTGGAAGTCCACAGGCACCTACGTTGACGCTGTCCTCCCTCGTGGGGCGAACATCGTCAGTGGCATGTGGATCTTCAGGGTGAAGCGGCCGCCGGGTTCTCCGCCTGTCTTCAAGGCGCGTTACGTGGCTCGTGGCTTCAGTCAGCGGCAGGGAGTTGACTACTTTCAGACCTTCTCCCCCACCCCGAAGATGACCACTCTTCGGGTACTGCTGCACGTTGCTGCTTACCGTGACTACGAGCTGCACTCTCTCGACTTCAGCACAGCTTTCTTGCAGGGCAGCCTGCACGAGGAGATCTGGCTGCGTCGCCCACCTGGCTTCTCTGGGTCTTTCCCTCCTGGCACCCAGTGGAGTCTCCGGCGTCCAGTCTACGGTCTCCGCCAGGCGCCACGTGAGTGGCACGACACACTGAGGACTACGCTTGCGGCTCTTGGGTTTGTTCCTTCTACTGCCGACCCGTCGCTGTTTCTGCGCACCGACACCTCTCTGCCGCCGTTCTACATCCTCGTGTACGTCGACGACTTGGTCTTCGCCACAGCTGACACTGCTGGACTCGCCTACGTGAAGTCCGAGCTGCAGAAGAGACACACGTGCACAGACCTGGGTGAACTGCGCAGCTACCTTGGCTTGCAGATCACCCGGGACAGAGCACGCCGCACCATTACCCTGACTCAGTCACACATGGTGCAGCAGGTTCTTCAGCGCTTCGGCTTCACGTACTCCTCGCCTCAGGCCACTCCTCTGCCTACTCGCCACTCGCTCTCAGCTCTGCCTTCGAATGAGTCCGTAGAGTCGAGTGGCCCGTACCCAGAGCTTGTTGGCTGCCTCATGTACCTGATGACCTGCACTCGTCCTGACCTTGCATACCCTCTTAGCATTCTCGCACGCTATGTTGCTCCTGGGAGACACCGACCAGAGCACATGGCTGCAGCGAAGAGGGTGTTGCGCTACTTGTGCAGTACGTCGGGCATGGGGCTAGTGCTTGGAGGGCGGAGTCCAGTGGTCCTTACTGGGCACGCGGACGCTTCTTGGGCTGACGACCAGGCTACACAGCGGTCGTCACAGGGTTACACCTTCAGCCTTGGTTCCGGCTCTGTCTCGTGGCGGGCTACTCGCTCGTCTTCTGTTCTCGGCTCCAGTTGTGAAGCTGAGATCTACGCCGGGGCCATGGCTGCACAGGAGCTTCGCTGGCTCACCTACCTGCTGACCGACCTTGGAGAGCCGCCTCGTTCTCCTCCAGTCCTGTACGTAGACAACAAGGCCATGCTGGCCTTGTGTCGAGAGCAGCGACTGGAGCACATAACAAAGCACATTGCTCTCCGCTACTTCCTTGCTCGTAAGCTACAGCAGCGTGGACAGTTGCGGCTTGCGTACGTGGCCTCTGAGGCCAACACTGCTGATGTCTTCACCAAGGCACTTGCGCCTTGTGATCATCAGCGCTTCTGCACTCAGCTGGGTCTTGTGCCCGTCTTGCCTCACTTGCTCTCCTCTTGACCTTGCTTGTACTCTCACATATATGTATACCTGCTCTTGCTTGTCTAGCTTTATATATATGTGTGTTCTCTTGCTTGTGAACTGGCCTTGTGGCCTTGACCTTGTGCTCAGACTGTGTGGTGACTTTGTGATCCACCCTGAGCTTGCTTTGCTTTCCTTTCCTTGACTGGTCTTGTGACCCCTTGTTCTCCCCCACTTTGCCTACGGGGGTGTGTCAAAACATTATAGCTTATGCTGTTGTGTAGGCTATAGTGGGGTATCCCATAGGGGGTACAACCCAATTAGGGTTTCCTATATGTACTCACTTCATTCATAGTTGATGCATTCTCGTTCTCATTCTCACACCGTGTTCACCCCTGTTATTCGGCCAAGCAAGTTGACTGCATGAGTCAGAACTAGAAACTTGGTGGGGATGGTGAGGTTCGGGCGACGGAAGGTCACAGATCGTTCACACCGGCTTTTAATCTGCCTTTCACGCCGTTCTTCAACCCCCGCTTAGCCGTCGAGTAGTTTCTTCTCGTGTGTCCCGGCGGTCTGTACCACTCTCCTCCGTAATTGTCGGCGTGGTACCTTGAACACCGTTTAATCGTGGGCTGTTGAGGGTGTCCCCGAAAATGACTTCCTTACAGGGAATCCACTCTCGAAATTGCCGGCCAGCAGTCAACAGTTCCAGGCACGCAGCGTCATCCGAGTGTTCTTCGGGGTGTATGGGCCCGAATTGCCCTCGCCGCCTGCGTCCCACTCCTCCTGAGTGCGATTTAGCCACTCCGTTGTTTGTTGCAACCCGTAAGTGTCGGCGGGTCTGAAGTTCCCGTCTGTCCACGTGCGCTCCTGCCGAAATCTTCGATGACGCGCCCGCCATGCAGTAAAAGCCGCTGCACTTCAGGTCGGGCGGGACGACAGTTGACCCCGCACAATTCGGGCAATTCGCGTGTCGTCTCTCCTCGTCCACCGATATTTTCGGACGCAAACTCCATTTGCGCCTGGCGAGTTCCCCAGCCGACCTTTTCTTCAACAGTTGCTCCGAACTTGTCGCCCACAATCACACACGTCCGTTGTCGCCAGCTGCCGGAACACATTCCGCGAGTCATGCGCGCAAAATGACGACGAGCCACCGTCGTAAATTGCCGCATCAGACGAACTCCGAAATTGTCGCGCAGCTGTTGACCCAGGTCCGACGGCGTCAAATAAACGTCGCGACAGCTACAGCTGCCCGTTGCCCGGGGGGAGGGAGGCCACGGTCGATCGCGACCGTTCGAGGTAAGGATCTGGCGGTGCCGAAGGAGTACCCGTAAAACCATGGCCGCGAGGAGCAACTAACTCGTTCTCCTGGCCGGCCTACGCAACTCCTGGACCCCAAGACATCCTTCCTCGTCCACCCCCCCGAGGGGTATTACACTCTAAAAAGCGGGGTAGGCTAGGAAAGTAGCTCTGATACCAGATGTTATGAATGAACTTGCAGAGTGCGCAGTAAAACGAATATCGAGAATGATTGAGTACTGAATTACTGAATGACTGAATGACGATACAATGAGAAAGGTACGACTAAATAGGGGAAGTCCTAGCTAGGCGGAGAGGTTGGGCGAGGATGGCTCGGTGATGGTTGCGATTGGAGCGGAGGCCGACTCGGGAGTGGTTCGGTGCGACGAAATAGGAAGGACAGGTTCGTCGCGCGACCCTCGGGATGGCCTCGCTAACGAGTGCCTCAGTAAGGATTCTGTAAATCCTTACAGAGATTGACATTCCTGTCAGAGACATGCGTTACCAGATTAAACATAACTGTTACCATCTAATACGGTAATACCCATATGCAGCACACACAGCTCTGCTATTTCAACCCACCACCACCACACCATCAGCGTACCATCTGAGTCCCCCACCTGCTATCACCCAAAAAAAAAAAGCTTCGCTATCTGCATCAGGTGAAGTGAACAAACTTGGTAACAATGGCAAGAAGCACAAAAGCCTGTACAGGTGGAAACACAAGCAGCTTCTCTCCTCCTGGCAGCTAATTTTCTACCTGGTACCGTAACCTGCCTAAATCACTGCCCGTAGATTCTTCACCTGATACTCTCTGCTCCACAACCTCTCAACCTGACCATCTCCCTCACAACCTTCCTCCGATTCTTTCATCTTCCCACCTCCCACTCCCACTCCATTTCACTCAGCATAATGAGACATTCCTATTTTGCTTGCAACCGAGAACTCCCGGTGTGTCTCCCCCGCATAGATGGAGACAATGGAGTCAATGCCCCCTGCTTCGCCGCCACACCTCTGCAACCCTCTGCACCCCTCCGCACCTCTCCAACCCCCTGCTAACTCATCTGGCTCTCTCCCCCAACTAGGTCCAATGCATTTCCCCAGCATAGATGGAAACATTCTAATCCGTGGCACCGGCAGCCAGCAGCGGCATGTACGGGTGAAAGTAGTGCGCTGACACCCCACACCTCTGCACCCCTCTGCACCCCTCTGCTAGCTGCGGTGTGTCTCCCCGCCATAGATGGAGGCAATGGAGTCAGTGGCACTGGCGGCAAGGAGATGCCTGTACAGGTGGAAACACAGCGAACTCACCCCCCACACCCCTCTGCACCCCTCTGCTAGCTGCGGTGTGTCTCCCCCGCATAGATGGAAACAATGGAGTCAGTGGCACCCGCGGCCAGGAGGGGTCGGTACGGGTGGAAGTGCAGCGCACTGACAGGGCCGATGCGCTGACCCAGGAAACTGTTGTGGTAACGCACGACACTCAATAGGTCCCCAGACATGTTGAACACCTGCGGGGAAGGGGGGAAAAGGGGTGGTATGGGGAGAGGGGTTACAACGGCGAGCAAAACAAACATGTTGTGGCAGCGGACAACACTCAAGAGATCCCTAGACATGTTGAACACCTGTGGGGGGACGGAGAGGGGAGAGTAAGAGGGATTATGCTCGATGTGTACAAAGAATTTGATGTTTATCTTGAGATTGAAACAGGAACCAATGAATTTCAGGTTTTTGGGTGGAGTTTGCAGCCAAATTCCGACGCATATCACAAGAAGCACTACAGCAAATGACGTTACTCACTCTGATTAATTGTTTCGAGCTGCCCGTGGCCATGACAGGCAGGTGCCGGTGAACCGAGAGCGCTGTGAGGTGCCCCTTATGCGCCTCCACTCTTCTAATTGGCTGCCCCGGATTTCGGGCATCTAAAAATACAATCTCGCCAGAACTTGAAGCAGAGATAATCTGAACGCAAAAAAAAAAAAAAAAAAACGTGACAACCATTATATGTGGCAAGTTATTTATTAGGAATGCGAAAAAAAACGTCGATTCGAGCGGCTATGTAAGGGGGGTAACAAGAATATGTGGACAGGAAGCGAGTAACTAAATCGCTCAAAGCAAGAGTGCTTAAACCGCACAGGATGCATCAGAGTGGAAATGACTAAAGATGAACTGCTTTTAACACGGTTGCTGATAAGATAACGCACTTGAGGTGCGGAAGTGCTGGCGGGGTGGAATGCAATTCCCGCAACCCGATGCGAGTGGTGGTGCGTGCCGCACACGAGCCTGCACGGGGAGAGGGGCGTGGGGAGGGAAGGTGGGGTTGATGTTGATATTTATTCAAGAGGTGAGAGTCACTGCGACCCGATGCAAGTGGTGGTGCGTGCCGCACACGAGCCTGCACGGGGAGAGGGGCGTGGGGAGGCAGGTAGGCAAAGTGCAGATCGGTCAATATTGACAACGAACACACGTCAAGCTTTACAGGCAACTCTGCCACAGGGTTGCAATCGCTGTGCCCAGGGCTGTGCCACAAAGCCCACGTCAATGTCAAAGAGCCGCACGGAGCCGCTTAGAACCGCACAGAGCCCATCACAACTACTTACATTACACAAAAACACACATTGCGCATTGCACATCTTACAGGACTCACTGAGCCGGGGCGGGTCTGCGAGCGAATGTTAAAGAACCGCAAAGAGCCACACAGAACCACCTAGAACCACGTAGTACCGCACAAGTCACACATCACGCATTGCACTCGCTGCGCCCGGGGCTGTGAGCGAATGTCAAATAGCCGCACACAACTGCAAAGAGCCACACAGAGCCGCACAGAACCACCTAGAACCGCACACAAACGCATCACACTGCACTCACTGCGCCCGGGGTTGCGAGCGAATGTCAAATAGCCGAACAGAGCCGTCGTCACACCCCGCTGCCACGTAGCTTGGCTGGACAACAGATGATCCCTGGGATGGGGAGGAGGGGAGGAGGGGGGAGGAGAGAGGGGGTGGGGGGGAAAGGAAGGTGTGGAAAAAAGTGAATTGAAGCGAAGAAACCGAACAGAGGCGTCGTCATCCCGCTGCCATGTAGCTTGGCTGGATGACGGATTATCCCTGAGAGAGTGGGGAGAGAGAAGGGGGAAAATCGGATCGCGGGCTGCAAATAGCCGCACAGAGCCATCGTCACACCCTGCTGCCACATAGCTTGGCTGGACGACGGATGATGACTGGGACGGGGAGGAAGGGAGGAGGAAGGAGGGGGGGAGGAGGGGGGCGGGGAGGAGGGGGGAGGGGAGGAGGGGAGGAGGGGAGGAGGGGGGAGGGGGGAGGGGGGGAGAGGAGGGAGGCGGGTGGGGAAAAAGCAATGAGAGGCAACAAAGTTGGCACACAAAGCCATCATCACACCCCTCTGCCACGTAGCTTGGCCGGATGACGGATGATGACTGGGACGGGAGAGTCAGGTAGAGGGAGGCAGAAAGGATAAGAGTGGGGTGAGGACAGAAGTGGTAGTGGCAGAACCGCAATCACACACTGGGCACATGTGTAGAGACAAGGTGCTTATGATAGTGTGCTAATGATAGTGTGCTTATGATAGTGTGCTTATGATAGTGTGCTTATGATAGTGTGCTTATGATAGTGTGCTTATGATAGTGTGCTTATGATAGGCAAAGCACCTTGTTTCATTCAAGATGTGGAATCACAACACCTATCACAGCAGCAGCACCAAATGCGTTTTGAGTCGACTCAAAACACACCTATCACAGCAGCAGCACCAAATGCGTTTTGAGTCGACTCAAAACACACCTATCACAGCAGCAGCACCAAATGCGTTTTGAGTCGACTCAAAACACACCTATCACAGCAGCAGCACCAAATGCGTTTTGAGTCGACTCAAAACACACCTATCACAGCAGCAGCACCAAATGCGTTTTGAGTCGACTCAAAACACACCTATCACAGCAGCAGCACCAAATGCAGTACTCACCAGTGCAGTGACAGCAGACTCACACCCAGTGGGCACACTGTGTGCCAGCAGCTCCCTGTGTGTGTATTTACACAGACGGTTACTGGGCGCACCAACAAACTTACTCTCACAGCAGCACTCACCAGCGCAGCGACGGCAGAGTCGCACTCAGTGGGCACACTGTGCGCTAGCAGCTCCTAGTCTAGGGGCAGCAGCAGCAGCAGCAAGGACAACAACGCCAGTCTTCACAGCAGCACTCACCAGAGCCGTCACGGCAGAGTCACACTCAGTGGGCACACTGTGAGCCAGCAGCTCCCTGTCTAGGTCCCACACGAGGATGGAGGAGATTTCGCCCGAAGCATACTGATGGTAGGGTGGGTGGAGATGGTGGAGGAAATGGGCGGAAGGAGGGATGGCAGTGCAAGGGAGAAAGGCTGTGAATCGGCTCACCTCATTCGAGTCACTTCGGAAAATTCTAAAGAGACTTCAAACCCTCATTCTTCCCCCCCCCCCCCCCCCCCCCCCTCCCCTCCTCCCCCACCTCTCCCTCCTCCACGCCTCCCCCATCACAACCACACACATCAGAACCCAGGACACATACAACAGGATCGTACCAGATGACTTTTGAGTCGACTCAAAAGTCACCTCGTTACACACATCAGAACCCAGGACATGCAACAGGATCTTACCAGATACCCCATTAGCTGTTGCCATTCCACCACTGCCCCCGTTCGCCCTCTCACCCCCACACCTCCCTTCCCCACACCTCCCCCATCAGAAGCACACACATCCGATCTAGAGACACACAACGAGATCTTACCAGGTACCCCATAAGCTGCTGCCACTCCACCACTGCCCCCGTTCGCCCTCTCACCCCCACACCTCCCTTCCCCACACCTCCCCCATCAGAATCACACACATCCGATCTAGAGACACACAACGAGATCTTACCAGGTACCCCATAAGCTGCTGCCACTCCACCACTGCCCCCGTTCGCCCTCTCACCCCCACACCTCCCTTCCCCACACCTCCCCCATCAGAATCACACACATCCGATCTAGAGACACACAACGAGATCTTACCAGGTACCCCATAAGCTGCTACCACTCCACCACTGCCCCCGTTCGCCCTCTCACCCCCACACCTCCCTTCCGCACACCTCCCCCATCAGAATCACACACATCCGATCTAGAGACACACAACGAGATCTTACCAGGTACCCCATAAGCTGCTGCCACTCCACCACTGCCCCCGTTCGCCCTCTCACTCCCACACCTCCCCCTGCTCCTCCCCCCCCACCACCACCAGAACCCAACCCTCCCATCCCCCCCCCAGTGCTGCTGCTGCTTCCACTGCTGCCGAAGCTGCTGCCGAACCCGCCGCCGAAGCTACTGCCGAAGCTGTTAGGCGAGGCAAGAGGCTCGGAGGACCGCCCCTGCTGGCCCCGAACCTGCTGCTGCTGCTGCTGGTCTAATCGCTGGTTAGTAGGATGATGCTGGTGCTGCTGCTGATGGTGCCGATGCGACATGTTAGAATCAGTAACTTGCGACTGTAGATTAGATGAAGATAAAGATGTGGAAAAAGGAGAGGCCGACGAGGAGGGGATGGAGGAGGAAGGACGGGCAGTGGAGGAAAGGGAGGTGGGGGAAGAGGAGGAGGAGGAGGAGAAGAGGTGGTGGGAGTGGGACTGAACGGCCTGCCATGCTGTGGCTATTCGTTGCTTGCCTCTCCGCGCAAAGTCCCTCCACACACGCACGCTCCCGTCCCCTGAGAGAGAAACATGCATGGAATGGAGAATACACAAATTTGGGTGACTGAACGGCCTGCCATGCTGTGGCTATTCGTTGCTTGCCTCTTTGAGCAAAGTCCCTCCACACACGCATACTGCCATCCCCTGAGCGAAAAAACATGGACAGAGAATACAGGATGGAGCAAACAAGACAGAAGATAGACAAAAGAGAGAGGTTAGGACGATTTATCTAGAGGAAAAAGTTGATCGTCCTAATCTCGTGGTGAATAGGAAACAATGCTTACTGGAGGCCGCAAGAGTGAGCCAGAGAGAGGGCTCAACCAGAGAAATAATGCTTACTGGAGGCAACGAGCAGCAGTGTGTTGGTTGTCTAGCTCGTTGAGAAGACACAGCAGGCTCACTCCCTTGTTTAGAGAGAGTGAGTGAGAGAGACAGAGAGAGGATTCGAGTGGAAGGAAAACACTTACTGAGAGAGGAAAAGGCGGATGTCACCATCCGTCATCCCCTGACTAAAGAGGTGTGGATGTGCGACGTGACCGTGACGGACCCGGTGTCTTACCAGGACGAGAATTGCAACCGAGCTCCTGGATGGGCGGCAAGGGCGGCAGCAGCTAAAAAGGAGAAGTATGCTCACAAGAATGCGTGGGTGGGGTTCCATGCGCTTGCAGTGGAGACGTATGGCTACCCCTCGCCAGGGGTGATGGCTTACCTGCGGCAATGCGCGGAGCTGGCGGCAAAGCTGCGTTTTAACGCAGCACCTACCTCCTACGAAGCAGCTAAGCAGCTGACACAGTACCGCCAGCGCTGGAGCGTGTGCCTCTAGCGGGCGCAGGCCAATGCCCTCCGCACCAAGACCACGAGGCCTTGGCGGCGGACGAGCTTGGCTTTCGGGGTCCCATCCTCCCTCTTAGTGAGGGACAGCTGCACCTTGTGATTGAGCCCCCGTTCGACCAGTAGGGTCGGACAGAGGGGGGGGCAGGAGTAGGTAGGGGATATGAGGTAGATAGGATACCGGTTTGCGTGCTTGCTTAGCTTGTGTGTTTGCATCTTCCTTTGTACCACCCCATAAGTAATGCAAGGACCATTCAAGAGGATTCGAGTGGAAGGAAAATACTTACTGGAGGCGACGAGCAATAGAGTGTCGTCTAGCTCGTTGAGCAGACACAGCTGGCTCACTCCCTTGTGCCTGTCCGCCCCACCTCCACCTCCCGTCTGGTTGTCAAACGTGCTCACTGTCAGTCCCTCCTCGTAGTTCCAGATTCTGAGGTAGAGGGCAGCAGAGAGTGACGCGATGGATTGGTGAACGAAAATGAGCGCCAAGACACACCATATGAACCAAAGGTACCAAAAAAAAAAAAAAAAAAAGAACAAGAAGAAGAAGAAAAAAAAACAACAACAACAACAACAAAAAGTCGTGTCCACGCTACTCACCTCACAACCTCGTTCTCGTCCGCAATGCACACGAGTGGCAGGAAGGGGTGCAGGAGCACGGCCTCTGTCATCATGTCAGACTCGGTGTCAAAGCTGGCGATCTGATCGCTCACCTTGCTCACCGCTGCACACACAAAGGAGTGGGGATGGAAAGTAGGGGGGTGGAGGACAAGCATTGGGCGTGGGAGAGAGAACAGGGTGGGGAACAGTGGGAAGGTCGGCAGGAAAATGGGGCATGTGCACGGCCTCTGTCATCATGTCTGACTCATGCACTGATGCTCATGTATCGAAGCTCTGCATCAGCCCACATAGCAAGGCACAGATTTCGGTCACCCACCCACCCTAGCCTCCCTCTTTTGATTGAGGCGCCTCAAAAATGATTTCGGCCACCCACCCTAGCCTCCCTCTTCCTCTCCCTCCCCACCCCCACTCACTTGCGTTGCACGCCGACACTCCGACACTCCCTCCACGGCTCTCTTCTCTCGGGCCGCGTGCCTCGTCTCGGCCTCCGACCCCTCATTCCCATCCCACACACGCATCAACACCCCCCCCCCCCCCCTCACCACCCAGCCCACTCACTGGCTCGCCGGCATTCTGCCACACCCTCAACCGCTCGCTTCTCTCTCGCCGCACGCCTCGTCTCAGCCTCGGCGTCACACACCGCCTCCAGCAGCGGCCGCGACAAGTGCCCACAGCTCCACGCATACAGCCCCGACTTGGGCACCGGCTTCGCCTGCGCCGCTGCCGCTGCATCCAGCGACAGAAACGGGTCCAGGAGCGACGCGGAGAGAGAGGCCGAGAGAGGGCCGGAGAGGGCCGGGGGGGTCCCTAGCCCACTGGGCCCACCGGCTGTGCCTGTAGAGCTTGTCGCATTGGAGCCAGCAGCAGCAGCAGGATTCGGGATGCTTGAATATCCCACAGCAGGCAATGTACCCGCGGCTGTACCAGCACCAGAGGGGGCAGTGGCAGAGGTGGCAGCAGGCGCAGCAGCAGGGGCAGCAGCAGGGGCAGCACTCGCAGTAGAAGGTTGAGAGGAAGCGGAGTTAGGGTTTTGAGGGCGACTAGCAGGGGTTGTAAGTGCAGGTGGGTTGGATGGGTGCGCAATGGCGTCTGACGAGACAGCTGCGTGCTGCATGGACAAAGGGGTGAAGGGGTGACGGACAGAGAGACAGAGATAGGAGACCTGAATCAACACAGCAAGCACTTAAACAACATGGCCATGCCATGCAGCCGTAAAAAGAAAAGAAAGAAAGAAAGAATAAGAAGAAGAAGAAAAAAAACGGCAGCAAGTACAGATGTCAAGTCAACACGTCCCATACCCACTCACGTTTGGTCTTAAGGGTGGGTACCCTCCTCCTCCCGTGACAGATGACAGCACATGCACCCCTGCAAGAATCTTCCCACTCCCCATCCCTTTTGAGGCAAATCAAAAGACGAGGGGTTTAGGTTTTAGGGTGCACACTCACATTTGGTCTCAAGGGCGGGTACCCTCCTCCTCCTGTGACAGATGACAGCACATGCACTCCTGCAAGGATCTCCCCATTCCCCATCACCCCCATCTGCCTCTGCTGCTGCTGCTGTTGCTGCTGCTGCTGGGACGACGAGAAATCCACTGCAGTCATTACCCTCCGCATCCCACTGTCCCGAGCCTGCATTCCCGAACCTGGTGCCAGCATCGGCGGCAGCCCGAGGCTGTCCCGAGCCACCAGGCCGAACGGGTCCCGGGCTTGGAGGAATCCCGAAGCTGCGGCGGCAGAGGGTGACATGGCGAGCTGTGGTGCTGCCAGCTGGCGCCAGCTGCCGATTGGGTGTGGAGCTAGACAGGAAACAAGGGGAAGAGTGGGAGGGAGGTAGGTCATAGGGTGAGCATGCAAAAATAGATGCCAACATTATGAGGCTGCGGCGGCAACGGCAGCAGAAGCAGCGGCGGCAACAGTAGCAACGCCTAAGAAGAAAAATGAATCGTAACATCTCACCGTTGACAGGCGCAACCCATGAAGTTGACCGGGTAATTGCAGGAGCCAACCCAACAGCCAATGGGGAGGGGACACGTGGACTCATGGCAGGACTCATCAGCCCGTGATGCCCCATCCCCCCGCCCACCCCCCCCAGGCCTGGCAAACCCACAGGCCCCGCGGCCCCCACTGCTGCAGCAGCAGCGAGAGAGAGATTCGGAGTGCCAATGGCTCCACCACCAGCCGCAGCCGCACCAGCACCAGTGATTATCACCGTCCCGGTATCTCTGCTGCTGCTCCGAGTCAGGTTGCTGAAGCTAGCAGACGGAGCAAGCCCCCCTGCTACCATCCCCCCCCCAACCCCACCCATCCCAGGCACCATCATCGGCATCATAAACGCGTCATACCCCATCCCAGTTCCGCCCATCCCTCCTCCTCCCGGCCCCGCTCCCCCCACCCCTCCTCCTGCTCCTGCCGCCGCTGCTGCCGCTGCCGCTGCCGCGTTGAGACTAGTAGCTGCTGCAGCTACAGAGGAGCCAATCTGGGCAAGAGTCTGTCGGCTGATCTTAGATACAGACGGGGCAGGGTCCCTTGCAAGGGTGTATACAGCAATCATACTCTGCAGGTAAGTCGCGCTGTCTGTAACATCTAATCCCCCCCATATAAGCCCGCCGTTTGGACCCATTCCCGGGGGTATCCTGCCTTGGGGTTGTCCCAGCCACCCAGGCCTTCCGCCCCTTACAGTCACATCCCCTGGAGGCATCCCTAGCACTCTCCCGGGCGAGCCGCTGGCAGCTTCGGCAGCGCCCCGGAGGAAGGAGAGGTCCGGCGCCGAAGCTGAGAGGCTGGTTGGGGAGGAGAGGGAGAAGAGGGGGTTTTGAGGAGTGGGTGGGATTGTTGTGACTGGTGATCCAGAACTGGTGACAGCAGCAGCAACCGCCACTGCTGCAGCTTCTGCTACTGCCGCTGTAGCCGCAGCTGTAGCAGCAGCTGTAGCGGCAGCTGCAGCAGAGGTAGACGGAGGGTTCGCGGCCAAATTCCCACTTCCACCTGGATTTTCACCTGACTGCTGCTGGCCCTCATTGCCCCTACTTCTGTCCTCCCCTGATGAAGCTTCGCTCTCAGAAGCACCTTCTGCTATAGGAACAATCCCATTCACCAAAGGAGGTATCATTATTGTAACACCACTCTCTCCTGCTTCTCCTCCTCCTCCCGCCCCTCCTCCTGTACCTGCTACAGTACCGCCTGCCCCAGTTGCTGCCGCCCCTGTGCCCTTGCTCCCCACACCCCCCTGTCCTTTGCTCCCTCCTACCCCTCCTGCTGCTGCTCCCCCCCCACCATCCCTCTCCCCTTCCTCCTCATACACTCTCAAGTACGAAGCTGACCCTCCCGAGGCTGCTGTGTTCCCCGAACCTGCCGCCGTACCTCCCGAGCCTACTCCTGAGCCTGCTGCGTCAAATGAATGTGCCAGCATCCGGCCCACCACCGCCGAGCCTGCGGTGGATTGGAGGACCGGGAGAGGTGCGTTCACTGCCGGACCTGGCCGGGGGTACAGCCGACCGTCCGTGCCGAGCCTAAGCCCTACCATGTTGACTTGGGGAGCGAGAGAGGGAAGATTGAGACCCGAACCTGACGAGGGCATACCCGAACCTGAAAGGCCTCCTGTGCCATTCAATCCTGCCATCCCTCCTCCTCCATTTGCTCCTGCTTCCCCACCTCCTCCACCTATGCCCAAACCTGTCATTTGCTCTTCCAATCCATGCACTTCCAAACCTGCTTGCCCTGCACCGAGCCTGTCCAATTCTGAACCGGATCTGCCAAACCCCATACCCATGCCGGCGGCGCTGCCGGCCACGAGCGACGGGCGGCACAGATAAGACGCCGCAGCGAGCCGAAAAGGGCGGCGATGTCCGTGGGCTATTCTAGCCAGTGCTATAGCAAGCTCTTTCCTCACCATGGGGCTCCCATCATTCAGCACTTTAAGTAACACCTGCAGCACCCCTCTCTCTGCTGCTAATCTTTGTTCCTCCCTCCACTCCGCCCCAGCTGACCCTACCCCAGATAAACCTGCACTGCTTCCGCCTGCACCTGCTGCTCCCTGTGCTCCTACTCCTCCTGCTGCTCCTCCTGTCCCAGCTCCTCCTGCTGCTGCTCCTGATACTCCTCCTGCTGCTCCTCCTACTGCTGACCCGCCTTCTGAACCCGGTGTTCTTGCTGCTGCACCCCCCACTGCTCCTCCTGCTGTGGCAGATGGCCCCTCCCCTAGAACCCCCCCAACACCAGCTCCTGCACCTGCAGCTGAACCTCCTCCTGTTGCTGCTGCTCCTACTCCCACCCCTACTCCTACTCCTGCTGCTGTCCCTTCCCCCGGCTGTGATTCCGAAGCGATGTGGATCAAAGCGCCCAGGGCATATGTTGCTGCTGCTCGGACCTGGTAGGTGGAATATGGAACAAGGGGGCAAAGGACCGGGAGACAGAGGGGGAGATTGTGAGACCCCTCCACAGACAGCAATGTGAATCAACGCATCTATGCTACTTGTGGCTGTGGTTCGGAAGTGCACGACGTGATTGACTTGACGCTGGAGAAGGACGAGGACATACTTGTCCATTTTTCTGATATTGTACAGCTGTCGTCTGGGGATGGTGAGGGAGCAGAAAGAGGGAGCGGGGTGCGGGATTGTGAGGAAATGGAGGAGAGGATTAAAAGGAAGGAGAGGGGGGAGGTGAAAGAAATGCAAGGAGCTTTCGGGCTAAGCGCCTGCGGTGTCCTGTGTGTCTGGGAGATTGTAGGAAGGATAGGTTTTTGGGTTGTGGGCATGTATTCTGCAAGCACTGCATTAGAAAGGCTTCCTCTGCAGCCCTCTGAAAAGCTTTTCTAGTACAGCACTTGCAGAATACATGTCCACAACCCCAAAACCTCTACTTCCTGCAATCACCCAGACACACAGGACATCAGGCGCTTAGCCCGAAAACTCCTTGCATTTTCTTCACCTCCCCGCTCTCTTTCTTTTCTATCTTCTCCTGCATCTCCTCCCAATTCCGGCTCTCATCCTCCACTCCCTCTCCCTCTTTCTGCTTCTTCTCCATCCCCAGGCGAGAGCTGTACATGATCAAAAGAATGGACAAGCATGCCCTCGTCGTTCTCCAACGTCAAGTCAATCACGTCGTACACTTCCATTTCCTCAGGCCTCTGCCCCGCATCCTCCTCCTGCCTGTCACGCCTCCCTTGCTCTGCCTGCTGCTGTTGACCCTGAAATTTGTGACCCCTTGAACGAATGTTCCCGTGCCCGCCACGAATGTTCCAATGAAAACTTTCTAAACACCATACTCTCACCTCTGGCTGTGGCTCTGACAGTAACGGGGAAAGGATCTGAGGGGCGCGATGCTGAGCTAATGCCGCTGCTTGTGCCTCTGGCGCTCCCCCCCACAGCTTGCCCACACACAGGCACAGCCATTGCAGCAGCAGTGGCTCTGCTGGAGGCGCAGCTTGGATGTGCATCAGGCAGAGAGGGATGAGTCCCGCCTGGGGGAAGGGTGGAGCAAAGGGGAATGGGAAGAGAGGGTTAAGAGCTTGCACCAGCAGCCCTGTACCAGCAAATCGAGTCGCTTCAAATCAAACTACCTGCAATAGCAGCAACCCATTTCAAGTCAAATCACTTAGGGTAGCAGCAGCCCACCTGCAGGCACGCTTGGTGCCCCTTGGGATGACCATCGCATATGAGCGCAAGCACAAACGCAGCCATGGCTCGCTGAAAAGCCACTGTGGCTCGCTCCCTGGGGTCGGAGGAGTATGGCTCGTGGGTCTCAAGGCACTTGATGAAATACATGTGGCCGCCATCCCTCACCAGATCCACCTGGCATGTCTGGAAAGAAGGGAGAGAGGCATAGGGAAAGAGAGGGGCAACGGAGAGCGCAGAGGGGGTCAGCAGCAGTCCCCTACTCGCTTCCTGGAGTCGGAGGAGTAGGGCTCGTGAGAGTCCGTCCAGGCACTTGTTGAAATTCAAATATACATGCGGCAGTGTGTCACCATAGCAGCCTGTACCGAACCAAATACGAGGATCTGGACTGAAAAAGCTCACACAGCTCTGCTCCTATGCCATGGAAGCACTAAGCCGTGTCACCTCCTAAATAACTGCCCACCTTATCAAGAGCCAGGATCTTGGTCCAGATGAACACGAGGATCTGCCGCAGCTCCACTGCACTCGTCTGCAGCAGCTTGAGCACATACGGGAATATGCCCACAGACAGCGCCTGCATATTTATGGGAATGGGTGCAGAGGAGAGAGCGAGGGGATTGATGTGAACATGACGAAGAACATCCAGCAGCTTGTGCACGTAGAGGAATACAAGCACTGAGTATGGAAATCACAAATGCAAATTCTCAAAAGATAACCATCAGCTTGAGCACACGTAAATGAACATTCAAATCAGCACCTACTGAGAGCGTCTGGGAGTTGAATCGATGACAACACAACGTGCATGAGGAGTGAGAAGAGGACAGGAGAAGGGGGAGGGCGCGGGGGGGTGGCGGGGAGTTTGGGGAAGAAGAGAGGGGGACAGGGGAGGAGGCGGGTCCAGAAAGGGAGCGAGAGGAAGCAGTGTGACTCACCAGGTCGACAGCCCAGGGTCCCATGTCGAGGAATCTTCCCAGAAGCACGAGAGCTCGCAGCCTGTGCGAGTGACTGAGTAGCACCTGATGGGGGAGGGAGGGGGGGAAAGGGGCAGAAGGGCGAGGAGGTGCAGGAGAACGAGAAGTGGAACAGCATTCGATGTGACTGACACCTGTGTCAACTCAAAAGCATGGCAGAAATATTGATGTATCCTATGCAGGAAAAAGAGAGACTAAGGAGGACGGACCTGCAGCACGATGGGGAGTTGCTCCGGCGGTCTCTTCTTGTCGCTGCCATGCTCCAGCCACACCTCAAACGGCAAAGCACACAGCGAGCGTTTAAATGTCTACAGAGCACGAGAAAGAACGATAGGGAGGGACGGACCTGCAGCACGATGGGGAGTTGCTCCGGGGGTCTCTTCTTGTCGCTGCCGTGCTCCAGCCACACCTCAAACGCCATCAGCTGCTGCGAGAAAAAGCTGCTGGGCTGGCAGGCAGAGAAGCGCAGGAAAAGGGGTCGGGCAGGCAGACAATAAGCTAAGTGAGGACGCCCCTGCTTCATCCTCTATGTGAGAGATCACTCAAATCAAATCAAAGGGTGACACGGATATCAGAGCCTCTGCAAAGTCGTTCGGAGACTGGTCAATGAAAGCAGCTAATGCAAGCACTTGATTCTGGTACAATGCAAGATTGTGTGGTTGTGAAACGTCTCGAGACTCTCGTGCTTCTGATCAGACAGGGGACTTGTCTAACAGAAGAGAGATTGGCTTGCCTGGAACTCGGCGTTGGGGTCTGCAAGGAGCGTGGGCAGTTGTGCAAGACACATCTCCGCTGCCATGTCCCATGCGTGCCTGGGGGGAGGGGAGCAGGGGGGGAGAGCAGGGAGACAGAGGTTCAGTGCAGGAGGGAGCAACGTTGGCCTTGTTCAAGAAACCACATGGCAGCTGTGCGAAGACACATCTCCGCTGCCATGCCCCATGCGTGCTTGGTGGGAAAAGGGAGCGAAGTGCAAGGGGAGGCACAGGGACGCAACGAGCAAGTCACAGAGATTCCCCACTCATAATACCACCAAAATGGGAACAGAAATGCCTTTCTACCCCTTCCCTCCTTCCTCCCCCGCAGTACCAGAGGTGATGCTGGTGCGTGGGTGGGAGCCGTGGGTACGACACAGGCGTGCACCCACTCGCTCTCATCACCCTCTCCGCAAGCTGAAAGTTCCGGAACAGCGACGCGACCAGCAGGTCACAGAATTGCCCCGCCCACAATACCACCCTCAATGCCCGACCAAAAAACTTTCCCCTCCACCCCACCCATCCCTCCATTTACCATAAATGGTGCTGGTGCGTGGGTGGAAGACGCGGGTACGACACAGGCGTGCACCCACTCGCTCTCATCACCCTCTCTGTAAGCAGAAAGTCTTACAAATAAAAACCCTTTTACACACACACAAACCCCTCCACTTACCATAGGTGGTGCTGGTGCGTGGGTGGGAGTCGTGGATACGACACGGGCGTGCACCCGCTCGCCCTCATCACCCTCTCCGCGAGCAGAAAGTTCCGGAACAGCGACGCAACGAGCAGGTCTTGCCGAAAGAGGCGTTGGAAGAGGTGCGTGGGGAGGGTGTTCCAGGCGATGGTGTCGGTGACGGCGGTGAAGATCCAGTTGAGCTCGCCCAGCGCCGTCTTGCGCTCACTCTGCCGCCCGGGAATGCGCTCCACCATCTCCGGGTCCAGCGAGTCGCGCAGGAGCGAGCGTGAGCAGAACCTGGTTGGGTGGAAGAAAGAAGGAAAGGGGGTACAGGGAAGGTTGGCTTGCGCTCACTCTGCCGCCCAGGAATGCGCTCCAGCATCTCGGGGTCGAGGGAGTCGCGCAGCAGAGAGCGGGAACAGAACCTGGGGTTGGGTAGGGAAGGGGAAGCGAGTGAGGGTGAAAGTCGTCTTGCGCTCACTCTGCCGCCCGGGAATGCGCTCCACGATGTCTGGATGGCGCGAGACTCAGAGCAGAGAGCGAGAAAAGAACCTGGTTTGGTGAGGGCAAGGGGGAAGGGGAAGACAAGAAGGAGCAAACAGAAAGTTGCGAGGTGGGGCCGGTGCGATGCTGAGGCACGGAGCAATTTCCAGGAGAGGGACCTAAGCTAAGCTGAAAGTATAACTGCACTGCACAAGAATCATCACCTCAGGGGCTTTCAGCAGCCGTCTCACAACACACTCACTCACTCACCACTGCAAAGCGATTTTGATGGGCGTGGTGAGGCATGCAGTGAAGAGGTCTGCTGGCAAGTCAGGCGGCTGAGGAAGAATCTCCTCTGGGCCGCACGCTGCCAGCAGTATTCGGTCGCGCATCCCCGCTGCTGCTGCTGCTGCTGCTGCTGTGGCGGCTGCTGCTTCCCTGCTGGCTGCTGTTGGGGACGCGAGGGGGCTGGACGGAGCTGCTAGGGCCCAGTCAGGACGCTGAAGGGGGGCGAGGGGGGAAGGGAGGGGGGGAGAGCAGAAGAGGAAGAAGGTGACGGAAGGGACAAAAAACAGAGGCAGGGGAGGCAGAGGAGGCAAGGGGAGGCAAGGGGAGTCAGGTTGGGTGGGGAGGGGAGGCAGGGGAGAGGAAGAGGAAGAAGGTAAAGGGAGGGACAGAAAGAGGCCGCTGCCACTGTTGCCAACATGGCAACGGAGGCGGTTACTGAGGGAAAGGTGGGAGAAGGAATCTTGAGCATGTACACAGGAAGGCCCCCTCACCTCGACGACTGCGTTGATGATCATGCCGGCAGCAGAGCGGTCAAAGACGTAGATGGAGGGTGTGGCGAGGAGACAGGCCCCCCACTCAACTAAGGCGGTCGCATGAAGGGTGAAAGAATACGTGCATGCACTGTGCACCACCACATTCGCATATCAATCCCCCTCACCTCGACGACTGCATTGATGATCATGCCGGCAGCAGAGCAGTCAAGACGTAGATGGAGGGCGTGGCGAGGAAAAAAGGGCCCCTCATTTTCTCATATTGAAGGTAAACGGATACATACATGCACTGTACCTACCTCCACCAACGCATATCAATCCCCTCCCCCTCACCTCGACAAACGCGTTGATGATCATGCCAGCGGCGGAGCAGTCAAACACATAGATGGAGGGCGTGGCGAGCCACGAGTCGAGCTCATACACGGACAGCGGGATGTACTGCGTGTATGTCTTGTTTAACACCCAGATCTCCCCGTTGCCCGTGGGCTTGGCTAAGGCACGCTGTGGTTCCCACCTCGACGAATGCGTTGATGATCATGCCGGCGGCAGAGCAGTCAAAGACGTAGATGGAAGGGGCGCCAGCCACGAGTCGAGCTCATAGACAGACAATGGGATGGACTGTGTGTATGTCTTGTTGAACACCCAGATCTCCCCGTTGCCCGTGAGTCAAGGTGACAGGCCCCTACCGTCCTTGGCAAATGCAATGACGGAAAAGAGGGTACCTGTACTGTACCCTACCTCCCCACACACCCCTACCACCGCACACGCCCCCTTCCTACCTCGACAAACGCGTTGATGATGATGCCGGCAGCGGAGCAGTCAAACACATAGATGGAGGGCGTGGCGAGCCACGAGTCGAGCTCATACACGGACAGCGGGATGTACTGCGTGTACGTCTTGTTGAACACCCAGATCTCCCCGTTGCCTGTGGGCTTGGGCACGCCGTGGCCGTTGTAGTGGAACAGCACCCTCTCCGCCTTGGCGTTGCGCCGGCACGTCAGGCATAGCTTCTTCACTTCTTCCACTGTCGGGTCCAGCTGCACCTTGTAGCGTGCCTGGGGGGGCATAGAAGAGGGGGGGTGAGGGAGAGGGGGCTTGGGCACGCCGTGGCCGTTGTAGTGAAACAGCACCCTCTCCGCCTTGGCATTGTGGCGGCACGTCACACATAGCTTCTTCACCTCCTCCACCGTCGGGTCCAGCTGCACCTTGTAGCGTGTCTGGGAGAGTAAGTAGAGGGGGGAAGGGAGGAAGGGACGAAGGGATATACAATGCATGCATTGCCACACGTGAGGCACAGCTTCTTCACCTCCTCCACCGTCGGGTCCAGCTGCACCTTGTAGCGCGCCTGGGGAGGGGAGGGGAGCATACAGGAGAGGGGAATGGGGAGGAAGAAAGGGACCTGAGTTGTGATGCATGGAGAGGTTACGACTATTACACGTGAGGCACAGCTTCTACACCTCCTCCGTTGTGGGATCCCAGCTGCCGCACCTTGTAGCGCGCCTGGGGACACAGAGTTGGAGCGGGGAAGAAGGAAGGGACATGTGATGCAATGCAATGCAATGCAATGCAATGCAATGCAATGCAATGCAATGCAATGCAATGCAATGCAATGCAATGCAATGCAATGCAATGCAATGCAATGCAATGCAATGCATGAAATGTACCCCTTATGGCTAATTCGTCACCGCTCGCTATTCATGGCCAGTTATCACATGATAATTACGAGCAGTTGCCACAGGTTGATTGCAGCTTATCATCGCGGCTTTGTTACATACATCACCATGGATCACGGCTGGTTACCACACCTTAATCGAGGCTGGTTACCACACCACACCTTGGGTTGCCAGCGCTCGTACTGCGCTTGAAGGTTCTTCCCAATGGTATCCAGGGCCTTCTGTGCTTGCATTGAAAAGGGATCTGCAGGTGGATGGAAGAGATGTGGGTTGCGAGGGGAATGGAAGGGCAAACAACGTGGGGTTGTCTTGATGGAAGGTTGGAATGGTGGAGGGCAGACAGTGTAGAGTGGACGGGCAAAGAGCATGGTAATGCGTGGATAAGACAAAGAGATGAAGAATCCTCCCAATCACGTCCAGAGACGGGAAACGCGATTGCTGAGAGAGGAAGAGGATTGGAAAGAGGCAGCAGCATGGCACGGCACTGACCGATCCAGCACTCGACTCGCGCGCAGGGCGAGATCTTGATGACGTCAGGGGGGTCCACTCCGATGTTGAGACACAGCACGATGGCCACGCTGCTCGTCTTCATCTGCGGGAGAGGCAGGGGAGGGAAGAGGGAGGGGATTGGGGAGAACGCAGAGCGGGAACGGGGATGGGAGATCACTCGTCAGAGGGGTACACGCCAGTTTTGAGACACAGCACGATGGCCACGCTGATCGTCTTAATCTGTGCGGGGGGGAGTGGAAGGTGTAGGGGGGCCGGGCGAAGGGGGGGGGAGGTGTGGGGGGCGCGAGAGGGGGGACGAGGAGGGGAACGACGGACAGGGAAGTGGAGAGGAGGAAGAAAAGGAAAGGTGAAGCGATGAGAGGTAAGGATCAGGAAGGAGGGAGTCAATTTGGGAATGGGAGCAGGGGACGGGATCGATGATCACGGGGTCAATTTACAGCAGAGACTGGAATTCAGCTCCGCGGGAAGATGGGGAAGGAAGAGAGGGAAGAAGGAAGTGAACAGAATATTAAGACTTAATCATCTTCTCTTTTTGAACCTAATCGCAATAACCCAACCTGTGGTTGGTTAGAAGCTACACCATCGTTGATTGACAAGCCGTAGCCTAGACTGCAAGCGACAAATGGCGTTGCCGGCAAGTTCTGCATAATCACATCGCGTAAGGAACAGTTGGCTAGCTATGAAAACGTCGATTTTCTGTGGACGGTAAACATGTTTCGCCAACTACCATGATTCGCCGGCAAAAGTTACCATGTTGCCAGTCAAAGCTACCATGATTCGCCTGTTAGAGTTACCATGTTTCGCCAGTGAAAGCTACCAAGTGTCGCCAGTCGATGTTACCATGTATCGCCAATGTGGAGCTATCACCTATCGTCAGCAGCGAAACTCGCTCAAGCTCGCAGCACCCCCAACGCCGGAAGGATCACCAGTTAGTATCCGCGATTAAAGAACTAAAGCGTTGATAGAGCGTTTCTGGCGCGAAAACCGTTGACCCAATGGCGAAACAGTAAATCGTACCCGATCCTTCATTCTCCATTTGGAGACAAGTCCCGAATCGCCCGACGCCGCTGATCCATCCTTGACCTTGTCCGGATCGTGTCTCAGGTCGTTCAGGTAGACTATGTGGGGGAACAGATCATCATAGCTTATCTCGATCCTAAACGGATCAGCGGCAGCTGAGCCGCGATCCATGGCATCAATAGTCTCCGAAGGCTGTGAGGTGCTCACATGTCGAGAAGCTAACCAAAATTAACGCGTGATCACTAAGTGTCACGAAGCGATCCTGATTCCACTTGTTAGTGTCACTACTTCACTGCACTTGTTAGAGTGATAGTGAAAAGAGTAATTTAGGGTTTCCATATTTCTCCAAGGTCCATGATGGTGCTGTGGGCTGGGCTGGGCACTTGCACGCATCACGTTTCACAATTGACTCCCTCACCCCTGTGGGCAGTGTATCTGACCACGTGGTTGGCACTGGTCGCGCGCGCACAAGTGCTAGAGAAAGCGCGCATAGGCGGGGAAAGATTCCCTCCCCGCTCCCCGTACGCCTGGAGACTCCCCCATGAAAGGGGGAAAATGCGCTCAGGCCTCACCAGACCGCCCTTGAAAGTGCCGCGCCATCTCACACACTTGCGACATTTCACATGCCTGGTTGTACCAATCATCAACGTCGCTCAGATACTGCCGCGGAAAACGACGGCGTACTGGCCTCCGCTCCTCCTTGCTTCGCCGCTTTCCCTGGCGTTACGGAGAAAAGTAGTGGTGCACGAGGTTAGCGACCTTCGCCAGCCTTTCGTCAGCAAAGCAGCGAGAATGGAATACTTTTGGGGGCCGCAACAGCCTGTGATTGGTTATTCACATCAGCTCAGCAGCCACGTCATCCAAACCTTCACCCTGTTCTCACTATAGGCTATAGTCACTCCCATACACTCTGCAAATGGCCTTTATGAACGAGATGGTTAAAAAAAAAAATCCGAAGTGATCACAGATGCTACTTTGTTTTTGAGCCATACTTCAAACTAATTGCTTGAACGTTTTGAGAATCTAATTGAAATAACAAAGAATCCCATCATACCATATGGCACTTGCTTTTATCACATCAATCAAGCCCTTGGAATGTCCCTTCAGTCTCCAAGAAGGGAGACAAGCTACTCGCAAGGTCCCCCACAGTTGTCCCACTGCTCATCCTCCCTTCAAAGAACGCAGCATCCTCTGCAGCATCTGCTGCATCTGCAGCTGCTGTCGCCACACTCTGCTTCTTCCTCCGCCTCGCACCCATACTCTCCTCTGACTCACCTGACATGGACTGGATATCCTCCCCAACCGTACTCAACCCACCTTCAGAGTTTGAGCTGCTGGCTCGTTGGGCAGCTTGGGCGAGATTCACAAAGCTGGCGGACAGGTGCGGAGAGAGGGTGAGGCCTGGCGTGGGAGAAACCTGCTGAGTCACCTGGGGCTGGATTTCCCACACAGGTGTTTGCTCAGGTGATTGGGGTTGCCCTTGCTGCTGTTGGTGGTGAGGTGGGAGGATGAGTTGGTGCAGCATCTGCAGCTGCTGCTGCATCTGCTGCTGCTGTAGCTGCAGCTGCTGCTGCTGCTGATACAACAGCTGCTGCAGCTGCTGCTGGTGCTGTTGCTGCAGTTGCAGCTGCTCCTGTTGCAAAATCACCCTCGGCTCATCTCCCCCCTCCTCCTGCTGCTGTTGTCCCTGCTGCTGCTGAGGCTCTGAATGATGCCGTGACGGGGTGTGTGGTCGCTCCTCTCGCACTCCCCCCTGCCGCTGCTGCTGCTGCGGTTGCTGCTGCCGGCTCCCACCTGCCTGAGCGGAAGTTGCTCTGACTGCAGAGGAGTCAGCTCGCTGGTAGCGCGAAGGGGTTTCGATGGTGATCTCTGTATCTTCCAGCAGTGCAAGGCACACCTGGTGGGAGCAGCGGGGGCAGAGGAAAGAAGAGGGTACTACTGAGGCCAGGTGAACAGAAGCGATAAGGGGTTTCAATGGTGGATTTCAGCAGCACAAGACAAATTAGGGCAAGGGTCAAACATAGCCCCTTCCCCCCCTCCCCTTCTTCTCTCTTTAGCAAGCTCACCTGAACGGCGTCGTGGATCCGCACAAAGTACCACTGGCGGCCGATCAGATCAGGGAAACCGGCTCGGGCCATGGTGAGCATGACTTTGGGCGAGGGGTTGGAGAAGCACAGCTGGATGTCCCGTGCCTTGTACTCGTTATAGAGCTCCTTGAGGGCGTGCACGGCCGTGGAATCGATATAAGTAACGGCTGCAGGAGGGGGGTAGAAGGACAAGGGATGAAAATAATGATGAGCATTCATATGTTTTTTTTTTTTTTTAACTCAAGACGAAGGACAAAGAAGGGTCCAACAAACCCTTAGGACAGCTGACTATAGAGGAAGAGGACAGAAAGACACACTCACGGGACATCTCGAGTATGAGAAAGCGCAGGTCCATGACAGCCATTCCGTTGGCTCCCCCGTTGCTGCCTGCCAGCCTTCCTCCGCTGCTGCCGCTGCTGCCGTCCTTCCACCACGCCACCCTCTGCAGCTCGTACTTGCGTAGCCTGCGGTGGAATGGGGAATGGGGAAGAGGGGAGGGGAGAGACGGCAGAGACACAGGGGTTAAAGGTGACAGACATGTGAAGCAGTCACTCTGCCTGCTGCCATCCTTCTCTTCCACCACGCCACCCTCTGCAGCTCGTACTTGCGTAGCCTGCGGTGGAATGGGGAATGGGGAAGAGGGGAGGGGAGAGACGGCAGAGACACAGGGGTTAAAGGTGACAGACATGTGAAGCAGTCACTCTGCCTGCTGCCATCCTTCTCTTCCACCACGCCACCCTCTGCAGCTCGTACTTGCGCAGCCTGCCGTGGTATGGGGAAGGGGGGAGGGGAGAGAGGGCAGAGACACAGGGGTTAAAGGTGACATGTGAAGCAGTCACTCTGCTACCGTCTTTCCACCATGCCACCCTCTGCAGCCCGTACTTGCGCAGCCTGAGGTGAGAGGGGAGGAGCACAAGCACATGGAAAGCAGGCAAGGTGGAGAGGCGGCGTTGATATGACAAACAGCACTCTGCTACTGCTGCTTCTGCTGACCTCCCCTTCCACCACACCACCCTCTGCAGCTCGTACTTGCGCAGCCTTAGCAGTTACCATTTGAACTGAGCACCGGAGCTTCTGCTATATCGAGTTGACTTTTGAGTCGACTCAAAAGTAAACTCAGTTGAACTGAGCACTGGAGCTTCTGCTATATTTCGCCTGTTGCTGCACCGCACCTACCCAGGCGCACCTACAGCGCACCTCTCTTTGATATAGTCCACGTTGGCAAAATAGATGGGTGAGTCGATGCGCAGAATGACCACGCCCCTGTACGTGTACGCGTCGCGGTACTGCTTCACGTTGCGGTAGACCGTGGTGCCTGGGAGGCGACCCAGCACGGCTGAGAGGGAGAGGGAGAGGGAGTGGGTGCAGAAGGGGCAGAGGGGTGGAGGGGCAGAGATGGGAGGGAAAGCAACGAGAAATACAGTGAGCAACGAGAAATACAGTAAGCAACGAGAAATACACTAAGCAACGAGAAATACAGCAAGCAACGAAAAATAAAGTAAGCAATGAAAAATACAGTAAGGGAAACGAGGGGCGCAGGTGTGTGATGTGTTGCGTCCCAGTACTGCTTCACATTGCAGTATACCGTGGTGGCTTTTGAGTCGACTCAAAAGTCAACTCGGTACTGCTTCACATTGCAGTATACCGTGGTGGCTTTTGAGTCGACTCAAAAGTCAACTCGGTACTGCTTCACATTGCAGTATACCATGGTGACTGGGAGAGTAACAAGGGGGAGTGGTGGTGTACGGGAGGTGAAGGGGACATGCAGGCATCAGGGAAATCAGTGGCAATCATGTGTCTGTACGTCTTCGTATTTGGGCTGGGGGAAGATGGCAAAGACGAGGGATGGCAAGGGCGCATGAGGGACTTACCCATGTGCGGATTGGCAGACTCATGAATGACAAAAACGAGGGAGAGCGCCACCTGCCATGGGAGAGGGGAGGAGGAAAAATGGAGGGAGAGAGGGTAGGGGGAAGGGGGGAATGAGCACACCAGTCTCCAGTAAAAGAGCAAGGTTCAGAGGCTCACCTACACTTCTCACCTCCCTGCATTTCGCAATGCACCAACGTACCGGGATGAGAACACCAGTCTACAGTCCAATGAGTAGTGTTCCCAAGAATGTGCAGAGCCAGAGAACGAGGTCCTTCTTCTCCACGCGCCACAGGAAGAGCGGCTCCTGCCTCACACCAACCTTCAGACATCACTCCAACTGTTACACCAACATACCGAGATGAGAACGCCAGTCTCCAGTCCCAGCAGCAGTGTGCCCAGGAAGGCGCAGAACCAGAGAACGAGGTCCTTCTTCTCCACGCGCCACAGGAAGAGCGGCTCCTGTAGGTCCACCAAGCCGTGCACTGCATTCACCACCACTGCTGCCAGCACACACTGTGATGGGACAGGGAGGCAGGGGGCAGGCGCAGCGGGAGGTGGGCGTTGGTGAATGCCCGCCACAGGAAGAGGTGGTCCTGTAGGTCGACCAGCCTGCAGGCTACCAGCACTCACTGGGGGGAAGGGGTTGGATGGGCAGCAGGAGGCGAGCGAGGAGGGGCAGGGGTAGAAGGGGCTTGGAGAACTACGGAACGCACTGCCATCCAGATGTATGTGCGTAGCAAAGACAAATGGAGCCCCAGGTTGGAGCCATGTCTTTACGTGGCAGCGACTTGTTTTTAGTTAAAAAGTAGAAAGTAGGTGTCCAACCTGGGGCTCCATTGAATTATGGACCGCACTGCGATCCAGATGTATGTGCGTAGCGAAGAAACGTCTGAGAAGGCTGGAGAGAGGAAGCCACCCACGAGCCACTTATACGCACGTGCGGCACGTCCTTGAAAGCCGGTGTGAGGAAGAGCAGCGTGGGCACGACCATGAGCGCCATGATGAGCCCACCCACTCCGTGCCGTGCGACGTGTGGTATGGACCATATGCCTGACTGCCCTTTTGAGAATTCTCTAAAGTCACATGAGAATTCTCAAAAGTCACATGAGAATTCTCAAAAGTCACTGCCGTGCGATGTGTAGTATGGACCATATGCCTGACTGCCCTTTCAGCTCATCCACACACTACCCGCTGTACTCAAGGAGGTTTTTGTTGTCTCAAGTTGACGCTAAAGGCACCCATATGCACCTGCGGCACGTCTCTGAAGGCTGGAGTGAGGAAGAGCAGCGTGGCGACGACCATGAGCGCCATGATGAGCCCACTCAGTGCCTCGGAAGGACAATGACTGACCTTTCAATTGACTCACAAGCCACCCATACGCACCTGCGGCACGTCTCTGAAGGCTGGAGTGAGGAAGAGCAGCGTGGCGACGACCATGAGCGCCATAATGAGCCCACTCAGTGCTGTGCGCGCTCCCACCTCGTTGTTCACTGCTGATCGAGAGAACGAGCCTGCGGTGATGGGAGAAAGGCAGGGAGGGTATGACAGAGGAGGCAGAGAGGAGAGGCGGAAAGATGAGCCATGATGAGCCCACTCAGTGCCGTACGTGCCCCCACCTCGTCCACTGCTGATCGGGAGAAGGAGCCTGCAGAGAGGGGGCATGGGCATGTGGGGGAAGGTGGGGGAAGGGGCGCAGAGGGGAAGTGGGTAAGGAGGTGATCGGGTGTGCAAAGGGTGAAAGGCTGTCCTAGGGAAGGGGAAGGGAGGGCTATGGTGGCAGGGGGAACAACTCGTGCCGGCAGAGCTCAACGGTGGTGGGGACGGAAGGACTTCACTCACCAGTGGTGGGGACGGAAGGACTTCACTCACCAGTGGTGGGGACGGAAGGACTTCACTCACCAGTGGTGGGGAAGAAGGAGCCGAGCACGTTGGCCATGCCGAGGCAACCCTCTGGGGGCTGTCATGACGAATGGCTCTGTATGGGGAAGGACTGCAGAGGGAACGGACTATGGTAAGGACAAGGGGGCTGAGCTCACCGGTGGTGGGGAAGGAGGAGAAGAAGGAGCCGAGCACGTTGGCCATGCCGAGCCCGAAGAGCTCCTGGTTGGCATCGATGGCGTACCCGTTGCGCGCTGCCAGCGCCTTGGCTATTCCACACGACTCCAGGATGGCCACTCCTGTGATGACCAGCGCTGTTGGCAGCAGCTTGGGGAAGTACTCCCAGGGGAAGGCCGTGGAGAGAGAGGGCAGACCCTGGGGGATCTCGCCGACCTGTGATGGAAGGGAAGTGGGGATGGGAAGCGGGGATGGAGAATGGGAAGGGAAGTGGGGATGGGAAGTGGGGATGGGAAGTGGGGATGGAGAATGGGAAGGGAAGTGGGGATCTTGCCCCGTAACCCTTCTAAATTACTCACCACGGGCACATGCTGGGGGTGCAAGAGCTTCACCACCAGGGCAGCGAGCACGATGCTGGTGAAGGGGCTGGCGCATATCAGCTCCCACACCTCAGGTTGCCACACCTTCCCCCCCTAAACCCACAACCCCACACCCGAAGCTCACCACAGGCACGTGGGGGGGACGCCAGAATTTGACGACCAGGGCTCCAAGCACGATGCTGGTGAAGGGCCCTGCACACCGCAGCACCTGCAGCGATTTCCAGCTTTTCCCCGCCTCCTTCATGAGCAGCAGCAGCAGCAGCGCGCCTCCCCCCAGCGCCATGGGCTCCCAGTGCGCCTTCCCCGCCATGATCTGCTTGATTATGTGCGACAGCGCCGCCACAAACGTTGTCTGGCCTGCCGTGGGATGGGGAAGGGTAAAAGAGGAGAGGAGAACGGTGGGGTGGGGCAACTCTGTGCCCGCCATGATCTGCTTGATTATGTGCGACAGCGCCGCCACAAATGTGGTCTGGCCTGGCGTGTGCGTATGGCATGGGTGTGACATGGGTGTGACATGGGTGTGACATGGGTGTGACATGGGTGTGGCATGGGTGTGGCATGGGTGTGGCATAGGTGTGACATGGGTGTGGCATGGGTGTGGCATGGGTGTGGCATGGGTGTGGCATGGGTGTGGCATGGGTGTGGCATGGGTGTGGCATGGGTGTGGCATGGGTGTGGCATGGGTGTGGCATGGGTGTGGCATGGGTGTGACATGGGTGTGACATGGGTATGACATGGGTGTGACATGGGTGTGACATGGGTGTGACATGGGTGTGGGTGGGGATCAGAAGGGAGTGGGGGGAACAGTAGAAGAGGAGAGGAGAACGGTGGGGCGAGGCAACTCAGTGCCTGCTGCTATCTGCTTAATTATGTACGACAGCGTTGCCACAAACGTGGTCTGGCCTGCCATGCGTACGGCACGAGTGTGGGGATTAGAAGGGTGGGGTCGGGGAGTAGGGGAAAACAGTGGGGGTTAAGGCAACTTGGCATCTCAGCTCCAAACGGGACTTGAATTTAGCTCTAACAGCAGCAGCAGCAGCAGCAGCAACGCCCCATTCCTCCCACCTGTTATTGCCCACTCACCTCCCTCACTCAAAGTACTCTCACTCACCCGGCATGGAGAAGCTGAGAATGTCCTTTGCCACGGACACGCACACCAGGAGAGCCGGCCCTGATGAGGGGAATGAGGCGGACACACCCACTAGCCGCTCCCTTGTGGTCTCACCCAGCACACACCCAGCAGCCTGGGGGCTGACCCAGCAGCCTGGGGGCTGACCCAGCAGCCTGGGGGCTGACCCAGCAGCCTGGGGGCTCACCCAGCAGCCCCCAGCCTTGCGGTCTGAGTCTCATCCCCCCCCACTCACCCGGCATGGAGAAGCCGAGAATGTCCTTTGCCACGGACACGCACACCAGGAGCGCCGCTCCTGAGGTGAACCCCGAGACAACGCTGTGTGAGAGGAAACGCACGAGCCACCCCATTCTGGCGGGGACGGGAGGAAAGACACGGAGGGCGAGAGAGAGATGGGGGATGGAGAGAAAGAGAAAGAGGGAGGGAAGGTGCACTATTGTTTGTGGGATCATGATGAGACGAGGTACGAAACACGGGGGGCCAGGAGTGACTCGAGAATGTTATTTATCAAAACGAACCTGAGAAGCCCCTTGATTGAAAGAACGCATATAGGAGAAGTACCTGAGGGAACACCTGAGAGCTCTCACCTGAGCAGACCCATGAGCACTTCGAGAAGTCCCACCATCAGCGCCAGCAGCACTGCCAACTCTTCCATGCTCACATCCGCCGCCCCTACCGCCCCTCCTGCCCCTCCTCCTAGCATCCCTCCTGCTCCTGCTCCTACTCCCCCTCCTCCACCTGTCAATTCCGCGGCTGTGATCCCCCACCCCATGCTACTCAGCTGCCTGGCAGCCGTGCTCACAGGAAACGGAAACAGAGCACCGCTGCTGCTGATGCCACTGCTGCCACCGCTGCTGCCGCTATTACTACTACCGCCAACAGAGCTTCGGAAATCCAGCAGGGACCTAGAGGGTTGGAACCCACCCAGACCTGTCGCTCCTGGGAGCTCTATCCCCCCTCCCACGCCCCCTGCTGTAGCAGCCAGGCCCGCCGCTACAGCGGAGTCGCGGAGCTTCTCCGCTACAACCTTGCGGAGCCCGTTGAATGTGAGGATGGATACGATGGCCACGGGGCCCACTGCCAGCTGGCGGGATGAGCCGAACACCACGTAGCTCAGAATGGGCACGAATGCCGAGTCTGGCCGGGGGGGGGGGACAGGCGGGGGGGTTGCGGGGGAAAGAGGAGGAGTGGAGGAACCAAACACCACACAGCTGAGGATGGGCACGAACCCGAGTCTGGGTGGGGGGAAGAGACAGCGGCGTGGGTTGACGAGGGGGAATTGGGGAAGGGGGACGGGGGAAGGGGGAAAGGGGAGGGAGGATGGAAGAGGGGGGCAAGAGGGGACGGGGGAAGGGGGATGGGGAGAGACAAATGGCATGCCAAGCGCATGGCATGGCATGAATAGACTAGTTTAAGTCATGTCATGCGCATTGGTATACATACATAGGCCGTATATCGGGGGGAGGCCAGCAAGCTTAGCGTATGACATGGACTGTGAGGGGGGAGGAGGGAGGGGTGGACGGCGAAAAGAGAGGGAGAGAAACGGGAAAGAAGGGGAAAGAGGAGGATGATGGGATGAGGGGCAGGAGTGCGGTTCATCGAGAAAGAATGAGGGGGAGGTGTGGGAAGTGAGGGGGGGATGATGAACGGTGGAAAGAAGGGAAGGGAACGGTGAACGGAACGGGAATTTGAAGCAAGTGAAAAGGCCAGTTGGAACGAACAAAACGGTAAGCACACAAGTATGACTGTGTGACTCAAACACCATACTTAGTAACTAGTGCACCGCTTGTACACTGCGAGTGGGTCCTGAATCAGCAGGATCCCGCCACGTGTGCACCTACCTGTGGCACAAGCATCGTGCCCACGCTTATCCCCGCTATAAGGTCCGCCAAGAGGTCGTCTCGCAGGTTATAAGCCGCCATCCACTTGGTACACGGGAAGAGGTAGTGCACTACGCGCCAAAATGCCGCCCAGCAGTTGGAACCAATGAAACCCCCGGTCCCGCCGGGAGAACCGCTGTCGTAGATGTCAGCGTGGGAGGGGTGTGAGACTGGCAGCACTCGCACGCGGCTGATTCAGGAGATTGGGAGAGAGAGGGAGGAGAGAGAGGGAGGAGAGAGAAGGGGGCGGATGAATGAGTGTGTTTGGGAACCGCTGTCATGGATGTCAGCGTGCGAGGGGTGTGGCACAGGCAGCACGCGCACGCGGCTGATTCAGGTGATTGGGAGAGAGAGGAGCTGAGAGAGAGGAAGGAGAGAGAGGGGGGCGGATGAGGAGGAATAAGTGGGTTTGAGAGCTGCTATCGTAGATGTCAGCGTGAGAGGGGTGTGGCACTGGCAGCACGCGCACGCGGCTGAGGTGGGATGAACAGGGAAGGGAAGAGGCGGGGGAACGGCTAAGCTTCGCCCTTCACTCCATGGTTGGGTGCTTCCAAAAGTGTGGCGAAACGCAGGGACCTGAGCTGTGATCACCGCGGACGACTTTTGAGGCGCCTCAAAAATGCTTTTGGAAGTGTAGCGAAACACAGCCTGTGGGTCCTGAGCTGTGCTCACTGGGACTTCAAGGCGCGTCCTGCTCCGCCATTGCTGCTGAACGAGTTTCGAAGCGCCAAGAAAGAAAACCCACAGCGTCGGACTGTTGAGCAAAGGACGGAACATACGCTTCGCCTGACGGGGCTTTAAGCCGCCTTCTGCTCTGCCATTGCTGGGTGTTTTGCATGTGTAGCCCTCATGAACACCTTCCAAGCCCAGAGGAAAGTACGCTTTGCTTACCGGGGCTTTAAGCCGCCTCCTGCTCCGCCATTGCTGCTGGAAGCCGACGGGAGAGGCGGCGCAGGGCCCGCCGAGGATGACGGCGCGATGAGCGCCATCCACTCCGGCGGCCGGTCCTCCAACTCCGTCGCGCGCAGCGAGAGCGGGGACATGGGGCCCTTCATTGCAACGACCTACACGAACTTCCGCCTAACAAAGAAGTAAAAGGAAAGAAAAAAAAAACTACGACGAAGAATAACCTCGAAGGTAGGTAGTTCCACGTAGGTGTAGCGTAGACCTAGACGCGGCAGGAAGGGTATCCTAGGCTAGATCCCTCCATCTCATATGGAGCCCATGGGGCCACCATACGGCACACGATGGAGCTACACGTGCGTTTCTTGTTAAAATAAGAGGGGAAGGTGACAGTAGAAACTGGCTCCAAGAATACGCTATCTGGCATTAGAGAGTGTCGCACGAGCTCAACTTGCGTCGCACGAGCCCAGCTGGCGACACACGGCGAGCTCAACTTGCGTCGCACGAGCCCAGCTGGCGACACACGGCGAGCTCAACTTGCGTCGCACGAGCCCAGCTGGCGACACACGGCGATCTGGCGACGGCCTTATCTATCGCATGGCCTATCGCATGCGGGTCGAAAATGAAGTCGCCTGTGAAATGACTCCACGTAGAAACCGGCAAATCACTACTTCTACCCCCCTCGGCAAATCACGTGAGATCCTGCTGCTGCAGCGAAAAAGGCGGAATGATGTGTCATGCCTCTTCCGCCTCACGAAAGCCGGTCCCTTCGGGCTTCCAAACGGTCCCGCACGCAGGCAGGTATACTATGTAAACAGCCAGATTGCTGTTGATGAGGAATCTGTCCAGAACAATGGATTTTGACAAGCAACAAACTTGCAGAGCCTCGAAGACTGGCACAAGCTTCTGAGTGAGAGAGCTTTGAAAAATGTGCCAAAGGAAGGTCGAAGGCAGATCAATTGAATCGAGACAACGGTCATATCGGAGGAATTGGAGCGCAACGGCACAAGAGGCGGAGAAATGCGTGGATGCTTGGGGGGCTTGAAATTTGGTGCTTTGTTGGCGCGAAACGGTCGGTATGTAGAAACCCTTTGCTGGTTTCAAAAACGTTTCGTAACCAGAACAGGGCTTCGACATAGCTGGTTGACTTGATATCCTGAACCTGCTCCGCTCATACGCTCGTTTTCATTTTCATAACTACTCAGCAAAATCCAAGAAATTAGAGAACTTCAACATAACAAGCGAGCTGGGGTGTTCAGAAAAAAAAATAACAAACAAAAACGCGGTGTCAAATTGTCAAAACAAAGCGCGTCATTGTAAACATGAATCTCTCATGGTCCTATATAGAAAGAGGAGAAGAAGGGTGTAAGGAATTTTCTCGGCATTCCTTACGGAGCCCGTCTACATCGCGTACAGCAACAGCCGTTGTTCGCCCGTTACTGCTAACGGGGCTTCGCCAACTTCGCGCGCACTGTTTTGCCAAACCTCACACTGTTGGCACGGCCGTGTCGGCCTACGCTTCGGGACTAGCCCGAGCCGCGCTGCCAGCGTAGCACTAGCTAGCTCGCACGCACCGCGTTACCGTTTGCATGTTTCGCGTATAAATGTTCGCTCATGCCTTCGCTCACATTTTGTACTAGTTTGCCACCTTAGTACAATCCTCGCTACCTCGATCCATTGCACCCGTAACACTTGGTATTCATAGCCTCTTTCCTTTTCGGACCGCGCATCTCCGCACCCCAGGAAATCAACTTTTGATTTTTCACTCAAAGGGACTCACGCACCTTAGCCCCTAGGAGCCGCTGTCCTCGCGTTCTCTCGTAAACGCGTGCAGCCACGACTGCGCCTAGACTAAGACGAGCCGACACCCTTCGAAATGGCTGAGCATATCGACGTCACGACTCTCACGCAGGAGCACTTGAACGATCTGCTGCGACAAATCCGCGAGAGCGCCGAGGAAATCGCGACGCTGACAGCAGAACGCTCGTCCTTGTAGAATGACCTCACACGAGCACAATCTCAAGCACCTGGCACTCAGGAACAGCCCGCACCACAAGCATCACAACACGGAAGCGTGGGGCAACCCGCGAGCGCGGCCAGCGATGGCGTCGTCCGCCCCGACGAAGACGACGACCACGGCACGACACACCCCGAAGCGACGAATGCGGCCCGAAGCCAGCCACGCGTCACAATTTCGGCACCAACCGACAGTTCGGCACTGTCGTCACCGATGCCGCCGAAGCCGCAGCGTCCACCATGCTTCGATCCCAGTCAAAGGGGTGGTCCTACCGTTCAGGCGTGGTTGTTCACGATGAATGTGTTTTTCGACGCCAACTACGTCTCGGAGGATACGGCGAAAATCCGCAACGCTGTGTCACTGCTGCGAGGACCCGCCATGGATTGGTGGCGCGTCATCGTCACGAAGCCGTTTGATTACGCGACACTATCAACACGGGAAGGTAAAACCGGACCCTGGGCGCCGTCGTATTTCGTGGAGGTGCCCCAGTATCGCACGTGGGACGCGTGGTGCGCAGGTCTGCGCGCTCGTTTCGAGCCAATCGCGGCTTCGATCGCGGCGCGACAGAAGCTCCGCACTTGGCGCCAACTCGGTTCCGTCCAAGACTACACGAGCGAATTTCTGGCGCTATGCGAGCAGGTGGGATATATGCACGAGAGCGAGCGCATCGACCGCTACATCGGCGGCCTGAAGCAGGACATCGCTCAAGAAATCCAGCTTCGCGGCGTCACCGACTTTCAAGAAATTCTCGCTATGGCGGAGAAACTCGACTTCTTCCGCCGACCGAGACCGGGGTCCTACGGAAGCAGTCATTGGGGACATCGGTCTCGTGGGACGAACGAGGGCGCTACGATACGTGCCGTCGCCGCAAATGCCACTGCCCCACCATTCAAAGGGTGCTGCTTTGCGTGCAATCGGTCGGGACATCGCAAGAGCGAATGCTCGGAAAACGCTAAGGGAAAGGGGGAAGCCGAGCAGCAGAAACAGACCAAGCAGCAGGGAAAAGGCTGGAAGTCAGTAGCAGACGGGCCCTCTACTGACAGGTCACGCCGCTCGCCCGACCCAACCGACCCTCACCGAGTGATTGTGCCGGTTCACGCAATTGACCACACTCGGCCGAATAAGGAGGGTACCGCGGTAGACAGCCCCATACTACTTAGTCGGAAGATTGGGATAGACTTAGTTAAAATCTTCGTAGACGGGGGAGCCAGCCACAGCCTCATCAACACTGCCACGGCACGGAAGCTGAAACTGCCACTGGACAAATGCTTACCTGAGATCGACGCAAGACTGGTCGACGGCACGCCACTGGCGATACGGGAACACGTAGACCGGGTTCGAGTTCGATGCGGGGGTAACTTCACGTTTAGCCAAGAAATGCTCACGACGACCCTTGACGGAACCGACATTTTACTCGGTCGGGATTGGCTGCGACGACAGAATCCGCGAATCGACTGCACGACGGGTGACTGCACCGTGCGAGTGAACGGTAACAACATCGCCTTACCTCGCTGGGGCTCGCCTGAGTCTTCGTCGGTGCGTGTCAACGCGATCACGATGAAACGCGCCGTAGCGGCAGGAGCTGACGTATACGCGGTCAACATTCGGGAAGCCGAGGTAGCAGACAAAGGAGGGGATTTACTGAAACTGCCGGCCGACGTACCGAATGATCTGGCAGCACTATTGAAGCAGTACAGCGACATCTTCCCAGACGACCTACCGACGGGACTGCCACCTCAGCGACCGCACGACCACAGAATAGAACTAGAACCGGGGGCACAGCCGACAATACAGCGACAATTTCGACCGACCCAACCCGAACTGGACGAACTAAGGAAGCAGCTCGATTACCTGCTCGAGAAGGAATTCATTCGCCCTAGTTCGTCGCCCTTCGCAGCACCGATACTGTTCACACCGAAAAAAGACGGGGGATTTCGCATGTGCATAGACTACATAGCACTAAACAGGGTTACCATCAAAATACCCCATCCCGCGAGCCGACGAACTGATCGACCAACAGCGCACAGCCCGGGTTTTCTCGAAAATCGACCTACGCGGGGGTTACCACCAGATTCGCGTCAATCCGCCCGACTGCCCTAAGACCGCATTTCGCACACGCTACGGATCCTTCGAATACACTGTCATGCCCTTCGGACTGACCAACGCCCCCGCCACTTTTCAAATGACCATGCACGAAGCTTTCCGCCCGCTTTTAGATAAGTGTGTCATCGTATACCTGGACGACATACTGATTTACAACCCTGACAGAGAACAACACTTACAGGACATCGCAACAGATTTTAAGATACTGAGTGAGAACCGCCTACTGACCAAAGCGTCTAAGTATGAGTTTTTACAGGACCGACTGGAGTTTTTGGGACACGTTATTTCAGCTGCAGGAGTGGAAATATACCCGAAGAAAATCGCGACGATTCAAGCCTGGCACGCGCCGACCAACTTGACCAAGTTGTAGAGTGTTTTGGGGTTCGTCAACTACGTGCGCCGGTTCGACCCCGACATGGCGAAGCTGACTGCCCCGCTGACCGACCTGCTGAGGAAGGGGGTTGAGTACACGTAGGGGGAGAAAGAGCAAGCTGCCTTCTCGGCCCTCAAAAACATTTTGTGCTCGCCGCCCGTGCTTCACATCGCAGATCCGCACCGTCTGTTCGAACTCTTCACTGACGCGAGTGACATCGCTGTGGGAGCAGTACTGTTGCAGGATTTCGGAAACGGCCTCCAGCCAATCGCGTACGAGTCCCGCAAGCTGCACCCGCCCGAACGCAACTACCCGATACACGACCGCGAAATGTTGGCAATCGTGCACGCATTCAAGGTTTGGCGGTGTTACCTGACTGGCGCCGACATGACAGTATGGACAGACCACCGATCACTACAGTACCTGCGTGCCCAACCAAATCTCAATCCGCGACAGATTCGCTGGTTGGACTATCTCGAGTCCAACTTCCACTACACGGTTACGTACAAGAAAGGTGTATCCAACATTGCCGACGCACTCACCCGCCCTACCGCCCAACTCCATGCCATCCTATTCGCCCAAACCAACCTGCTTTTAACAGGCCTATTCACCCACGGATACCGCACCGACCCATTTTTCACGACCGGAAATTCACAGCA